TGGGCGATGCCCTCGGCGGGAATTCTTTCGCGTTGCCCAGTGCGGGCGGGAAATCCCCTTTTCCGCGCACTTCCCCCTTAGCGAGGGATCAGCGGCCTGGGAGGGCTGCCCGGCGCACGCGGCAGGCTCTGTACGAAATGGCCGTGCGCAGATTTTCTTCTGCCTAGTGTTTTGAAATGCGTACAAAAGTACAGCCAACATGACGCTCAAAGACATGATTAAGTGTGCAGGTGTCAATTTGAAAGTTGCCATTAGCATTTGAGCCGAAATTTATAGCAATATTTAGGTTGTGGACAACACACCTATTTATAAGTGTATGGGCTTTTAAAACCATGAAGTAATACATTAATTGACTGCTCTGTTTGAACAAAGTTTTCACAGGCTCAGTTTAGTCTGCAGCCATTTTCTCCGTAGGCATAGAGGTCCAGAGATAAGGACAACAGGGTAGTAAAAATAACTGCACAATGTTAATTTTCTTCTTTATTCTTTGTAAACAGGAGATTCAGATTTGCACCTTGGTTTGGCCCAGCATTGCAGGAGAAATAGTTTGGGATGTGACCTTTGCCATTGTTTTCTTTCTAATACCAGGTTTAGTCATTGTCATCAGTTATTCCAAAATCTTACAGGTATGTTTTTCCTTTAAATTTTGTTGTAGAACAAAGGGATGTAAACAGTAACTCACTAGGCATCAATATGTTGTCACTGAATACAAATACACCTAAAGGGGGTAGACATAATTTACTCAGTAAATGGTAAGTATGTGATATAAAATGAGGCTCTTCAACCTGTACATAACAGCCTATACATTTCAACAAAGAACATGCTCGAACAGCACATTACCAGAAGCCCAACGCAAACTTTGCCTTCATTTATATATAGTATCTAATACACTCCCCTGTTTATGTGCTGTTCATATTTAAAAGACTGTCAATCTCCTAAATGCTAAAAGAGTCGAGCATTTGAAATAACTAAAAACTGTATTTTGCTTTCCTTGAGCCTAAACTCCAGAGTCACAAGGGATTTGTAAGAAAGCAAAGAGAGGCAGGACTAGAAAAAATCCATCCCCTTTTAGATCTACTGATTTTCTGCATGTATTTTTAGTATACAGATCTCGTTAGATTACACTTATTCCTCCACAATCTCAAACTTTGCAAACAAAAACTGTAAATTAAACACTCTGCTTCCATTTTCTTTCTGAGTGGATGTTGTTTAACTGCTGAAATACAGGCCAAGGCACCAGGCACCACAGAGTTTTAATCTACATTCTAGCAAGCATATTAGCTACCTAAATTCCTTTTAAAACATCTGATTCCATACCCCTTCCTCTTCCAAAAACAGAGTGAGAAAGAGCTAGAAATCTTCAAACGAGGCACTGCGATGCCTAGTTTTTTAGCAACTGCCCCCAAAAGATTCTTGATTCCTGTATTAGGTAATTAAACTTCTCATATTATATGTAAGGAAAATTAGAGGTTTTGGAAAGGAACTTCAGAATACACAGACTATTGAGCAGGGAATTAACTGATGAAATGCTGAGCACCAAGGGGCTGTGGGTACATGCACCAGAGCTGCACGTAGATGTTTCCATGAACCTCGGACCTAGAATCTGGGCTCTGCATGTACTTGCCTATTGATCAGGCTTAAACTTGCAGTGCAAATCGTCAGCTTAGTTTCTGTACACTCTATAAGCTCATTACAACCTTGAGGTAAATGCAGTAGGTAAACCTCTTCTAGTGAAGTAAAGCACTTGCCTTTTGCAACCTCGTATTTGCTGTAGGCAAAGAACATACAGTAACTGAGTGGGGAGTCTGAGCCCTTTGAAAGAGGTGCAAAAAACTGCAGGCCAAGGAACGCCACAGTCCTTGGTCAGAGACCAGGACAGGAATGGTGTTCCTCTTGTCCTTGCAGACTCCAGCTTCCAACAGGTAAATTTAGAAAACACAATGGCACGTAGGGAACTAGAAGCCCCAAAAAGTGTTTGGAATACTGGATTACAACACAGCCCCATGCTGCCATGCTCACGTTTCTTTTCCAGCTTGGTAACACGGATGCAAAGCTGCGTTACCATTTCTCCTGAACTGGAAAAGGAACGAGGCCCATAGCAGGATCCCGTCTGTTGTAATTGAATCTTCTCTCTCACACAGCTCTCCAGGAAGCAACCAGAACTCAGCTGCAGAATGTCTTAATCCCTGAGTCATTCCCAAGAGCAGATTCACTCTCACTTCCCGAGAACGCTCCACGATGCCAGTGCACACAGAGTACAATGCTCAGTGTTACTGGAAGCAGTTCAAAGCATAGATGCATTCAAATAACACAGCATCTATGGTGATGATGATGATTCACTACAGATGTAAGACCTCAAATTTGTTAACAAATACACTCTACAAATGTGTACTTTACAGTTTCATCTGAAACTGAGTATTATTTTTACGTAGCACTTCCCAGAACCCTGGCAAAAATGACAGATTAGAAGCCATGATTTATAATTAAGTTACTTGGTTTTGCATTGTTCCCTCTCCCAGGCAAGACTTAAATAAGAGGCTAGAACTAGTAAAGACATTCCTGGTCTGGAAGTTACATACTTGTATATACATGACTTGGAAGTTCTTGGTTCTCAGACCGTGGTCCAGATGCCCCCTATAGGTATCTAGATTCCTTATACTAGGCAGACCAAAAAGGGATCCAAAACATATCACTGCCACCCCATTTCGGTTGAGCACTTCCTTAAGAGGCAGTTGTGTCTTATTTACTGCAGTCCTGATGATTCTTGCATTCTTAGTTCTAGGCTGTGCCGCTCCAGCAGGAAAGATGGAGGGTACTTACATGGGGCAGGTACAAAGGTATCTGATGAGGACGTTCTGTAGCCATTTTGAACAGTGGAGGCTGAGGAGGGTACAGAACTTGGTTTTCCCACTTTTATATTAGAAGTCGATATTAGTCCTTTGTATTTTATGAAACCTTCCTTCTTCCTAAGACAGGTTAGGTGCTCTCTGAGAACAACCCTTGGATCGGATTGTTTAGAGGAATTAACCTAGTTTTAGGATTCCATATGGGTACAGCAGAAGCTCATGAGGCTGGAATAGTTCTATATGTTCAAAACATCAGAATTCTCTGCCCCTTTTAAATCAGGGAAGCAGCTAGTGGAGACTGTCCGCTTCTCAAGCTCAGCAGCTGCTGAGAAGCCCATTTTTGGATCACGGGTTTTGATTTATACACCTACATTCTGTTGAAATCTTTGGTAGATGTCTAGGTTCTTAATGAATATTTATCCTAGGCCATCTATCTCTGTGACAAATTCAGAAAAATGCAGAAAGAATGACAAATTACTCTCTCTCTCTCTATATATAACCATTCTCATCCCTATCTGAACCAGGAAGCTATTACGTATTACTAGTATTAGCATTATCCTCCTTTAGTTGTTGCTAAAGGGAAACATCACACATAAAAGTGGCAGGAAAAGTCTTATGCCTTTTGACTTTTCTACTTAGACAGCAAATTGATCCAGGCTTTTGAAAATACCCCTTCTTTACCCATGCAGGGGGCAAAGTTATTTAGCTTAAATGTTTGTTTGCTAAATACTGCAATTTTATTTTATTTGCATCAGATACGTGACTGTAACAGACTTACTATGCTATGACAGGGATGTAGAGCATGAGATACTGAGTTTTCTGCAAGCCATTGGGATTCAGTATTAATGATAATTAATCATAATTAATGATAGGTGATTCACACCCATGAATACTAGACTCCCAAACTACCCATAGTCCTGTTTATTACACCAGGCAGTACTTTGACAAGACACAGATTTTCATAGTGACAAAAGGATCCGTAAGATTTCAGGTTAGTTCATAGAAAGCAATTCTGATTACTGACCAAAAAACTAGATGTTTACACAAAACAACGTAAAATCCCATTCAAACTTAAAACTTATCATGATTTAGTTACAGTAATAAATTCATGCTCCTTCTAATACCTACCTTCTAATATCAGCCTGTCCGTAAGAGAATTGGATTGCGTTCCTTCTTGCACATCAGCAGGATTGTTGACTATGCTCCAGTTTGCATTTGTGGAAAAAATCAATGGGTTTATTTAAATAGAACAAATGAGGTCATAATTTGAAGTTAAGGGGATTTCATGAGTAATTAAGGCTCTGTTTTATGCTGAGAAGTATTTATGGCTGGTAGAGAGCCATGAGGACAACAAACCAGCTTGGCTAATATTGTGGTGGGTTCACAGCTGAGAGGAAAAAACATGCTAGTAAAGTGAGAATGTTTGAAATGGAACCATTGACAAAAAGTAAAAATGGAATTCTGCAACACCTTTTTTGTAGTCACTTTTCAAAACAGAAGCATCATGTGCCGAGATTTACTTTTGCATTTGTAAAAATGTGTTAATAATTCTTCTAGGTTTCAATGAAAGTTACTTTCTTCTCTTTTACTGCAGATTACAAAAGCATCAAGAAGGAGTTTAAATGCTGGTTTAGCCTACTCAGAAAATCATCAGATTCGTGTTTCCCAGCAAGACTACAAACTATTCCGAGCCCTCTTTGTGTTGATGATCTCTTTCTTCATCATGTGGAGCCCAATTACAATAATTATTCTTTTAATTTTAGTCCAGAACTACAAACAAGATTTAAATATTTTGCCATCAGTTTTCTTCTGGATAGCGTTATTCACTTTTGCCAACTCTGCTGTCAATCCAATTTTGTATAATGTTACCCATTTCAGACGTAAATGTCAGGAAATTCTTCTCTGTTGTACAGGGAACCCTGTAAGGCATGGGGCTGGTACAGAAACCACTGCAAGAAGAAGTAACCATGAACAACCAAATTTGTCTTTCATTACCAGATAATTATTTGACGTCTGAGCTGTGCCACACTTTGGATGTTAATGTCTACACTATCCCAGGTTGAATAGGTCACTATGTTATAGTATTATATGCCAGAGAAGGGGAAAAAAAAGCGCTAAATCTGTGTTTTTAATTCCTGCAGGTAAAATGCTCTTGACTTCACTGCTTTGCCTCAATGAGATTTGGACAATTTAATCCAATGGATTGAATTCTCCACTTACACTGAAATAAACAGGAACATGGCAGTGAACTTGGTGAAGGTAAAATAGTTGGTATAAGTACTTACCAGTGCTTACTACACAAATTAATTTCTATGAGGGCACATTTCCAGTTGGCCTAAATGCCATCAAGTTCAATAAAGTTATAGTGAATCTGTATCAAGAGGGCACCTGATGCATTTTTACTCTATTTTCCACTGAGTAAGAGAGAGCAACTTTCTAGTGAAAATGTACATCCTCAGAAAGCATCTGCTCTTTTTTTTTCTATCCCATTTAAAAAGGCACTTGATTACACACTTAGGTAACTGACTGCCTGAACATAGGTTTGGGCAGACTAACCACTTGTAGGAAACAAGATGATAAACATGTATTATCACCAAGTGAATGACCAATTTGGTTCCATCTCAAATTAAAAATATGGACATAATGCCTGTTAATTTTTAAGTAAAGAATAAATAAATGAATGTTTACTACTTGTCATGTGTAAAATAGTTCTTTAAAAAAAGATGCAGATTTTTTGTGTCTTCAGTACTCGTATAATAATCAGTGATATATAGCATTACTGAAATGCCTTCCTCCTTTCTAAAATGCTATTGCGAACGATTTCCAGTATTTACTAGAAACAAGATGACATTGTATTTGAAAAGAAATTTAAAGTTTTAGAAAGGAAATACATATATTTGGGGGTTTTAAAAACTCTTCTAGTCAGAAATTGAAAGCACTAAAAAGAGAAAGGTTAAATTCTTAATTATTGCCATCTGTCACCAATTCAAAATAGTGCATTAAGATAACAGTTTACTAATAAAACCAATGTCTACATATGTACAGATGTGCATACAAACAATTTGCATCCCCTGTAATCCAAGTTTATTAAAATTTCATTGGTTTATTAACAAGGTGAGCTACACAGCTCAGATAAATATACTCAAAATCTAAATGAAGCCATTTAAAAGGTTTTCAAGAGAACACCCAATCAATGTGTTAACTTTACATCCATGGTGCTGTTACATGGTTTCTTTCCATGGTTTTGGATCTCCTTAAGAGCAAAATCCTGAAACACACAAAAACCAAAATTTCATTTTTCAACCACACTAGACAAAATACACAAACTTTCACCAAATTTAAAATGCGTACATATCTAATTTCTTTAAAATGCTCTTGAGTCCAGCAGTCTGTTACTTGTAATGATAATGCCAGTACCTTGCTCTGCAGTTTGTAGTTCCAAAGAATTTTCAACTCAGAACAAAACAGGAATTCATCCAATCTGGTACATTTTTCCTGAGCATTTTAATGCTTTGGCAAACAAGGTACTGGACAGACCAGTGATAAAAGGGTTATTTATTTACTTTAACAATCTTCAAATTATTTGCCTTTTAACTTTATTAATTTAAGAATGTCTTTCAATAAAATAAGAATCTCCTGACCTCCAAAACTTCTAATGGCAATAGTAAATTAGCTGAAGGAATATCACACTCTTAATTCACAATTTTTGCTTCTAGTAAATGCTAACAGCAGATTCAGCTTTCAGTTCTACTAACATGATGTCATATTGTGTCTACAAGTAGTCCCGCTGTGATATCCACACGCACATTGCATAACTCAAAGCAACTTGAGCTATTACTCTGAAGACTAAGTGTATCACAGCACGATCCATATTTGGAAAGGAGCTACCATCAGAAATGCAATGTAAGTTACAACCAAAAAAATCATAATTTCCTAGGCTTCTCATTTGCCTTAAAGAGCTAGTATAAAAAGAAGAGATATTTTAGATTATTTTTTCCATCAAGGTAAGTTTTGTACTATTAGGTTTTTTTGGGGGAACATAATTTGGGTACAGTATTAATTTGAAAAGCTAACGAAAAGTATTTGGGAAAAAAAATTAGCTTCAAGACACAGGCAGAGTAGCACAATTGGAGCCTATTCTTGCAGCATCTATTAACATCAGTCAGAATTTTAGCACAGTAACTGAATGCAGGTCAGTACAGACAATTGAAGTTGGCTTTTTTTTTGCTACTAATTCTGTAGCTCTTATTAGCAGAGTTAAAACTAAAGTAGCAAGGCTTCCAATCCCACACATAAGGAATTAAGTGAATTTTGTAAGCGTTTCTGATATAAAGCTTTCAATAAATGTTTTTTTCAGTTTAGCTCACAATCATTCTCTCATTCCCAAATGTACTTGCTTTGCAGCAACTTTGGCTTAATGATACTGGAGAATTCAGAATCAACTAGCACTATGGTAATTACAGGTCCTGATCACAGTAAGGAGTGAATGGAAATTGCTGGCTTTAAGTTTCATTTATACTTTGGTGCTGGGCTCATAAAGATAAACTCTGGCATAATCCTCAATGAAAAGCAGACAGCATTAAGGACCCAGGCTACTATTTTTCATTTACACACAGTATGGAACTCACATAGTCTCATCAGACACTGCACTCAACACCTAACATCTGAATATAAATTAGGATAGCAAAGAATACAGCACTCGGTGCAACTTGGTAGATTTGATATTTCTATAACAAACCAGAGGCAGCATGATCAACTTTTAAATTAAGGTTGAGAAGTCAAAGAATATTTAAGGCTGAACTTTCAAAAGACATTCTGAGCATTTATTTTTAAATTACACTATTGGCTCTATATTCTGTGAAAAAATACAAGCATTCTATTATATAGAAGTTCTGAGATATTTGAAAAAGTTCTATCACAAATGATGAATAAATGAATATATTCAATTTTTCTTTTTGGTTTATACTTTCTTGCAAAGATTGACAATACATTTATCACCTTGCAAGCCTCATGTAGTGTACAAATAATAGAAACACAGATTCTACCATGCTGAATCAGACCAGTACTTGGACTAGCCCAATATCCTGATTTTACAGTGGGATAATACTTTCTCTGGGTTTGACAGAAATGCAAGGAACCACCATAACACACACCTCTCAAAGTCACGGCACAACAGCTGTATATCTACACTTTACCTTAGATTTAATAGAAAACCATCCCTAATCATCTCATTATTTTGTTTTCTCATCTTTTTTTTTAAAAAAACCAAATTTTTATTCTTGCTGTAGTTCATTTGAAGAGCAGTGAATGCAGCATTCAAAACAAGAAACTATCATCAATTTATATAATGACCTTGTTTCTTTTCTATTCTACCCTTTATGCAATCATACACATCATTCACAAAAGCCAATTTCATTTGCATTTATGCTCTCAGTCTTGACTGCCTTAAATCTCAACTGTCTCTTATGTTGTCTCCAAATTCTCATTCAAGACAAAAATTTTTATTTTCATTGTTGTCAGGCACTTTTTCCAAGTCACTAATCAGTATTCTAAATGCCACCCACCTTAGCAGATCTTTTGGGCACCCCATTATCAGCATACCTACTTTACAACATGGCAATATATTACTCGGTGTTTATAGGTCAGATAAGCAGGTAATAGAGCCACAAGAGCTGACTGTGCTCATCTGTTCTGACTTTCTTTTAATACACAAAAGTTCCTTTGGTCAATCCCAGTTTATTCTAACATCATTTAGAAAAGCCTTTAATCTTGATTTACAGATTTCAGTGATGAAGAACATACAACAGCTCTTGGTAAACTGTTCCGAAGGTTAATGACCTTTGGAGTTAAACAAATGGCTATTTATTTCTGCTCTGAATGTGTCCAGTTTAAAGTTCCATCCATTTTAATTTATTATTCCTATGTTTGCAAGTCCTTTATTATCCAATTCCCATTGCTTGTGTGGGCAAGCACAGACTTTGCTCAGGTCAGCCTTTAACCTCTTTCTGATGAGAAAAGATCAAGGCCTCTGAAGCACTCACTAGAGGACACATTTTACAAACTTTCCATCATTTTCTCTGCTCTTCTTTGAAACCTCTAATTCATCCTTGCTACCCTTTCCAGTTATGATTATCATCAAATGTGACATAGCAAGCAGGCCTACACCAAGCACAACAGTCTCATACGAGTCTATAAATTAATCTTTTGCATCCTTGGTTTATGCATCCAAGAATGCATCCAAGAATGACATTAACTCTTTTGGCCACAGCATTACATTGGAAGTTCACCTTCAGCTGATTCACCAGTCAAGCCTTCTGTAGATATCATGTCTTCCAGAATGCAAAGCAGGGTAGGGACAAGTACGCTACTATTTTATTCATTCTAAGTATTCTGATCTGTCTTCTTCATTCTTTAGTATTCCCACTCTGGGTGTAATCTTTACCAGTAAGTATATTATGTTTTCAGCAGATCATTGATTAAAGTAGCATAAATTACAATTTGGCCTTTTCTAATATAACTGACCGCAAGTGAGCTAATCTGTACCCTTCCCTGTGTTGCAAGCTCAGCCTGACTATATGACTCAAGATAGGGCCATACTTCCAGTATGAGGGATATGTCCCTCTTCCACAACCCTTTGTGAAATGGTTGGCATGAGGACCTGTGAGAAAGGGTCTGCTGTAAGGCATCCTCTCCAAGACTTCTGATTTTTCTTAAAAGCCTTTTGTGAAGAATTTTTCAAAGAAGTTTTTGAAAATATGTTCTATTCCCTTCAACAACTATTTTGTTGAGAAAGCCAAAGAGTTCTGATTAAAGAGGCAATATTTTACTTCACAGGCAACTTCACAGCAACTGTGAAGTTTATCCTAAGTTTACTCATACTACATTGATTTAATTGTTTTACAGCTTCCTCTAATTATTGTTTCAGCTGATGTGATATGCCGCATAAAAAGCTATACACCTTAGCTCTCCTTCAGATAAAGGAAGTAAAAGTTGGAAATAACTTACTAAAAGCTGCAGTTTTCAAAAGACAGTATTACAGCCACTAAGTAAAAGACTTCATGCAT